ATGCACAAACTGCCAAGACTGAATCAGGAAGAAATAGAAAATATGGACAGACCAATCACAAGCACTGAAATTGAAACTGTGATTAAAAATCTTCCCACAAACAAAAGGCCAGGACCAGATGGCTTCACAGGCGAATTCTATCAAACATTTAGAGAAGAGCTAACACCTATCCTTCTCAAACTCTTCCAAAATATAGCAGAGGGAAGAAGACTCCCAAACTCATTTTACGAGGCCACCATCACCCTGATACCAAAACCAGACAAGGATGTCACAAAGAAAGAAAACTACAGGCCAATATCACTGATGAACATATGCAAAAATCCTCAACAAAATACTAGCAAACAGAATCCAACAGCACATTAAGCGGATCATACACCATGATCAAGTGGAGTTTATTCCAGGAATGCAAGGATTCTTCAATATACGCAAATCAATCAACGTGATATACCATATTAACAAATTGAAGGAGAAAAACCATATGATCATCTCAATAGATGCAGAGAAAGCTTTCGATAAAATTCAACACCCATTTATGATAAAAACCCTGCAGAAAGTAGGCATAGAGGGAACTTTCCTCAACATAAAAATGGCCATATATGACAAACCCACAGCCAACATCGTCCTCAATGGTGAAAAACTGAAAGCATTTCCACTAAGATCAGGAATAAGACAAGGTTGCCCACTCTCACCACTCTTATTCAACATAGTTTTGGAAGTTTTAGCCACAGCAATCAGAGAAGAAAAGGAAATAAAAGGAATCCAAATCAGAAAAGAAGTAAAGCTGTCACTGTTTGCAGATGACATGATACTATACATAGAAAATCCTAAAGATGCTATCAGAAAACTACTAGAGCTAAACTACTAGAGCTAATCAATAAAGTAGCAGGATACAAAATTAATGCACAGAAATCTCTGGCATTCCTATACACTAATGATGAAAAATCTGAAAGTGAAATCAAGAAAACACTCCCATTTACCATTGCAACAAAAAGAATAAAATATCTAGGAATAAACCTACCTAAGGAGACAAAAGACCTGTATGCAGAAAATTATAAGACACTGATGAAAGAAATTAAAGATGATACAAATAGATGGAGCAATATATCATGTTCTTGGATTGGAAGAAACAACATTGTGAAAATGACTCTACTACCCAAAGCAATCTACAGATTCAATGCAATCCCTATCAAACTATCACTGGCATTTTTCACAGAACTAGAACAGAAAATTTCACAATTTGTATGGAAACACAAAAGACCCTGAATAGCCAAAGCAATCTTGAGAATGAAAAACGGAGCTGGAGGAATCAGGCTCCCTGACTTCAGACTATACTACAAAGCTACAGTAATCAAGACAGTATGATACTGGCACAAAAACAGAAAGATAGATCAATGGAACAGGATAGAAAGCCCAGAGATAAACCCACGCACATATGGTCACCTTATCTTTGATAAAGGAGGCAGGAATGTACAGTGGAGAAAGGACAGACTCTTCAATAAGTGGTGCTGGGAAAACTGGACAGGTACATGTAAAAGTATGAGATTAGATCACTCCCTAACACCATACACAAAAATAAGCTCAAAATGGATTAAAGACCTAAATGTAAGGCCAGACACTATCAAACTCTTAGAGGAAAACATAGGCAGGACACTCTATGACGTAAATCACAGCAAGATCCTTTTTGACCCACCTCCTAGAGAAATGGAAATAAAAACAAAAATAAACAAATGGAACCTAATGAAACTTCAAAGCTTTTACACAGCAAAGGAAACCATAAACAAGACCAAAAGCCAACCCTCAGAATGGGAAAAAATATTTGCAACTGAAGCAACTGACAAAGGATTAATCTCCAAAATTTATAAGCAGCTCAGGCAGCTTAATAACAAAAAACAAAAAACCCAATCCAAAAATGGGCAGAAGACCTAAATAGACATTTCTCCAAAGAAGACATACAGACTGCCAACAAACACATGAAAGAAGGCTCAACATCATTAATCATTAGAGAAATGCAAATCAAAACTACAATGAGATATCATCTCACACCAATCAGAATGGCCATCATCAAAAAATCTAGAAACAATAAATGCTGGAGAGGGTGTGGAGAAAAGGGAACCCTCTTGCACTGTTGGTGGGAATGTAAATTGATACAACCACTGTGTAGAACAGTATGGAGGTTCCTTAAAAAACTGCAAATAGAACTACCATATGACCCAGCAATCCCACCACTGGGCATATACCCTGAGAAAACCATAATTCAAAGAGAGTCATGTACCAAAATGTTCATTGCAGCTCTATTTACAATAGCCTGGAGATGGAAACAACCTAAGTGTCCATCATCGGATGAATGGATAAAGAAGATGTGGCACATATATACAATGGAATATTACTCAGCCATAAAAAGAAACGAAATTGTGCTATTTGTAATGAGGTGGATAGACCTAGAGTCTGTCATACAGAGTGAAGTAAGTCAGAAAGAGAGTGACAAATACCGTATGCTAACACATATATATGGAATTTAAGAAAAAAAATGTCATGAAGAACCTAGGGGTAAGACAGGAATAAAGACACAGACCTACTAGAGAATGGACTTGAGGATATGGGGAGGGGGAAGGGTAAGCTGTGACAAAGCAAGAGAGAGGCATGGACATATATACACTACCAAACGTAAGGTAGATAGCTAGTGGGAAGCAGCCGCATAGCACAGGGAGATCAGCTCGGTGCTCTGTGACCGCCTGGAGGGGTGGGATAGGGTGGGTGGGAGGGAGGGAGACGCAAGAGGGAAGAGATATGGGAACATATGTATATATATAAAACTGATTCATTTTGTTGTAAAGCAGAAACTAACATACCATTGTAAAGCAATTATACTCCAATAAAGATGTTTAAAAAAATTTTTTTTGATAGCTCTTGACATATTGCACATTTGTTGTCCCAGCATAATGGAGTGCTTGCTTCCCTCCATCCTTGGCAAAACACAGTGTGTGGGAGGGTGGGAGGGAGGGAGACGCAAGAGGGAAGACATATGGGAACATATGTATATGTATAACTGATTCACTTTGTTATAAAGCAGAAACTAACACACCATTGTAAAACAATTATACCCCAATAAAGATGTTAAAAAAAAAAAAAACACAGTGTGTGAACACATGCTGGTTTGTGCCGTTGTGTTTTGTAAAATTGGCATTGCTATGATTATGAGGAAGACGGAGTAGCTTTTCAAATATATAAAATGTCACTTTCTGAGTTGCATGTGAACTGTTTGCTCAGGCCCATTTCTCCTTGGGTTGTTGGTCTTTCGTTCATTGGGAGGGGATATTTGTTCATTCCTTCTTTAAGGCTCTTCTGGAGAATCTCATCACCAGCCAGGTTCAGAGAAGCTGTGAGGTTCTCACAGCACCCGATGCCCGTTTTTTTCCAGCTGATATCCCAGAAGGAAAGCACCCGCCCTGCCCAAGGTAGCTAGTGGCAGCCCGAATTACCCAGAATAAGAACAGCATATTAGGCTGATATCTTACTCGTGTAAAATAAGTCACCCCTTCAAAGAAATTCTGCGTTTATTATCTCATCTAGTCATTACCACAACACAGTGAAGTGGGTGGGACTGGTGACATTTTTCTCATTTTACAGCTTTGGCCTTATGGGAAATGAACGCCCCACCATCCTACTCACTTCCAAAAGACCAAGGCTGCGCGGAGACATAGCAGTGATAATAGCTAACATGCAATGAGCATTTACTGCGTGCCAGACATTTTTCTAAGCATTTTATGTATATTAAGCCAATTCACCCTCACAGTCACTCCCTGAGATAGCATGGCGGTCATTTGCGCTGCTCGCCAAATACCTCCCAGTCTTCCAGACACATGGTAGAATTTCACTTCCCTGCCCCTTGGAGTGAGGCGTGGCCACTTGCTTTGACGGATAAGTGTGAGCAGAAGAGACATATGTCACTTCCTAGAGAAGCTTTAGCAGCTTCATGGTAAAGGGTATGATTCAATGTGCCCTTTGCCATGGAAACCACCAATGTTTCAGGGAGTGGCTATTCCATCAGTCTAGGTCTTGGAATGGGGATAGTGCAGAGCTGAGCCCCAGCCATCCCATAACGGACATGTAGCATGAACATACAATTAAGCATTTGTGTGTTCAGCCATTGAGACTTTGGAGTGGTTTATTTTATTACCAGAGCACAACCTATCCTGACTGATACAAATAGGCGAGAGTATTATCCTTATTTTATGGAGGATGGAAATGAGGTCTGCAAGATTAGGTTAGCTTATCCAAGGTCACGTGAGAACCAGGATCAAATCCCATTGCTCAGGTGTAGAATCTGTGCTCTTAAACACTTGGTTCTACTGACTGCTTAGTCATTCTGCCCCCAATACTGCCAGAATAATGACAATAGCTAATACTAGATGAATGCTACGTGCCAGTCCCCAAAACACTTCCTGGATGAATGAATGAATGAGTAAGTGAATCAACGACTGAATGCAAGAACTCCAGTCCAAGAACCAAGTGGGGCATAGCAGTGGCAGCTTAGGCCCATTTCTGGAATTGGGGTCCTGAGTAGCAGTCCACTTGCAGGCCCCTCAATCATTACTCTGGAGTTATACTTTTTGTTGTTGCTATTTCTGTTTCATAGACACTCTCAGATCATTCCTGTTTGACAGCCTGTGAACCATAGAGTCAGAGAGATTGAGTTTCAAGTTTCAACTTCTCATGAGCAGTGTGAGCTGGGCAAGTTACTTACAGCCTCTCCACATATCAACTTCCTTATCCATTCAATGGAGTTGATAGTAATAATGCTAACCCATAGGGCTGTTGAGAGACTTAAATGAGATATACACAATGCCTGGGTTATTAAACGTACCTGTTATTATAATACTAATACTAGCAGTTAACATTTGTTGCTAATGGTAACTCAGGGATGCCACATTCTGTTGCCAAGATTCAGACCCTGTGACTCCCCTCCCCTTCCCCCCAACCCCAGATGGGCAGGGACGTACCAGCAATTGGGCAAGTTGCGGGTGATGCTGGCCTGGGTGTTCGACCCAAACTTCATGTAGCCCAGTGTCCCCAGGCAGATGTAGAGGACGATGACAAGGGACATCCCGAAGTACAGAACAAAAGAAAACTGCTGTGGATGCTTCATCTGGTTTTTGAGAGACAGAACCTAGAGATGAAAGGAGGTTGAGAAAGAAAAGGTAGAAAGAAAGCTAGCAGGTTCCCCCACAAGCACAGACATCCTTCACCAGGCAGCCCAGAGTCAGGAAGGGGCCACACCCCCTTTCATCTTCTCCCACATTTTCTACAGCCAGGAGTGCCCCACTCCCTCTGCCCTGATGGTAAATTCTCACTCAGTCTTCAAGGCTTGGTGTGGTGTATGGGGCAGGTGGCACCCTGTAAATGGGTACTGACTTTCCCTTCCACCAGGAGAAGATCATATTCTGCACTTTTCATAAATACTACTATTTAGACACCTAGACCAATGACTGGCTTTCATAGAGAGCACTGGGGACCATTCCCTCAAACCCTATACCCATCTTACCATACCGACGCCTTCAAACGTGAAGATGGCTGTACCGAAGAACAGCAAGAAAGTCTTCCAGCTTGCCATCAAGGGTAGGTTCCTGGGATCTGGAATCTCCTGAAAGGAAGTAGAAGAAGGGCATTCATTTTGCCAAGGCGGAGAAGTCTCCCCAAATCTGGTAGAGAGCTGGGCTTGCCTGACGTCAACAGAGACAGTGTTAGAAGCACCCATGAGGTATCTACAGCTGAGTCAGCCTTTTCATCTTTTAAACAAGTTACTTATTTTTATTGTGGTAAAATATACATGGCATAAAAGTTACCATTTTAAACACTTTTAAGTGTATAATTCAGTGGCATTAAGAGCCTTCACATTGTTGTCCAACCATCACCACATTCCATCTCCAGAACTTTATCATCATCCCCAGCCGAAACTCTGCACCCATTAAATAATAACTCCCTATTACCCAGCCCACTGGTAATCCCTATTCGACTTTCTGTCTTTATGAATTTGACTATTCTAGGTACCTCTTACAAGTGAAATCATATAATATTTGTCTTTTTGTGGCTGGCTTATTTCACTAAGCATAATGTCCTCAAGGTTCATCATGTTGTAGCATAAATCAGAATTTCATTCCTTCTTAAGGAATACATTGTATATATTTACATTTTGATTTACCACATCTTTACATGTGGTGAAAATGGAACCCAGGGAGAAGAAGGGGACTGCCCAAGGCCACTCTGCAAGTGAGTGGCACAGCCCAGATAAGAATTCAGGTCTTCTGTTTCCCAGTTCTCTAATACCTCTTTCCCATCACTTCTCTCGGAGCCGTGAAGTCTTCTGGCTGGCACAGTAGCTATCACAGATCTAGAGGGAATGATTATTTTAATAGACTCCTGTGGGAAGAATAATGTCTACATCCTACTCCCTGGAACCTTGAATATGCTACATTACATGGCAAAGGAGAATTAAGTTTTCAGACTGAATTAAGGTAGCTAATCAAGCTAATTTTATTTATTTATTTAGTTAGTTCACAGTATTATATATTTTATTTGAGAAGAAATTATTCCTAAGAGATTCATGTCGTCCCTTGAGATAAATGGGAATTTCCAGATATTTCAAATCCAAGTTTGGGAATACAATTGGGAGAGTACGAAAATGATAAAGGGAAAAAAACTCTTGGATATCAGAGTTATCACAAAACTTAAAGGTAAGTTACGTGAATTGTATAGAGTCAAAATCAAAGTAGAAATTCCAAGAAAAATAGAAGAGGCATGTTCTACTTCCAAGAGGCATGTTCTACTTCCACAATCTGACCAAAGACTGGCAACACTGGGCTCAGGCTTTGAGCTCTGCTATCACAGGCACTTCTTAAGCCCTTAGGACAATAGGACCTTTTATAGTTTCTTTTCCAAAGAGCAATTTCAGGCCCCTCTTTAAGTCTTTCTCTCTCAGACTAGATGGAGGAGTTCAGCATGGGTGTGATCACAGCGTACATCACTGAGGCTACTGCACTTGAATGTGAGCCGTGAGCAGCAGCAGAGCTACTGTACACTCATATGCCTGTACAATAAAATAAGGAGACAACTGAGAGGTGAGATGCACAGGTGGATAATGCTTTATACTTCCCCTGAAGCTAATTTTAAAATAACGAGATTCTCCTGGATTACCTGGGTAGATTCAATGTAATCACAAGGGACTTTAAAAGTGGAAGAGAGAATCGGAAGAGAGAACCAGAGATGGCAGCATGAGAAAGACTTGGCCTGACATTGCTGGTTTTGAAGAGGGAAGTGGGCCATGAGCCAAGGCATGAGGGCAGCTTCTAGAAGCCGGAAAAAGCAAAGAAACAGATTCTCCCCACAAGCCTCCCGAAAGAAATGCAGTCCTGCCCAGTGAGACTTCCAGAACTCTGAGATAATTTTGTGCTGTTTGAAGTCACCAGATTTATGGTAATTTGTCACAGCAGGAAACTAATACAACCCCAGAGACTTTCAAAGAAATGAAACTATAATGGTGAAATTTCAGGGCCTGTAATGATAGCAAAGCATGGGCTTGGGAGGCAAAATGACTGTAATTAGTGGAAAAATTACTTTCTGTTTATCAGTTTTCTTGTCTGTGGACTGAGGATAAAGTAGTATTACTTCCAAAAAAGCATCATTGTGAAGATTTAATCTATGTAAAGAACTTGGCACAAAGTAAATCGAATTCCTTTATCATCCATGTATCCCTTGTCAACCTATCACTGCTACAATTTTGGTTGGTTATTTGATTGAGATTTATTACCCCAAGTGATTGTAACCTCCATTAAAGCAGACACCTCATCAATTTTACTTACTACTGAATCCCCACCCCTTGCACAATGCCTGGGTCATAGAAGCTATCAATAACTATTTGTTGAATGACCCATTGTCCAGTGTGACGATAATGATGATGATGGTGACTAGCTTTTATAGTTTGACGGGCAGGTGTTCACGGACATCATTTTGGCAGGGGCTGCTCAGAGCAGGAGGTTACCTTCCTCACTCTCATCTGCCCATGACAACAGTGACCCTCCCCAAGGGTCTCAGAAGCCCTGGACACTGACCCCCTTCTGTGGTAGTTTTGGGCACAGACCTGCACGATATACTCAAAGATCAAAGCCATGCTCCACAGGGTGGTGATACTGGCCAGTGTTGAGAAGACGGACAGCACCCTGAGGTTCTGGATAAACACCAGTAGGATCAGAAAGGGCAGGATTGCCAGCATGTAGAAACGAATGTCCAGGGTGGGGGTCAGCGCCAGGATCTTCCTGGGTTGGCAGGTGTTGGAGGTCACATAGGCTTCTTCCACCATCTGATGTGGAACACAAGGAAGGGCAGTGTAGTTAGAGGTGCCACATTAACACAGGATGCCATTAAGTTTCAATTTCAGATAATTAACAGATAACATTTTAGTAAAAGTATGTCCCAAATATTACATAAGGACATACCTGTAGTAAAAAAAAAATATGCTGCTTATCTGAAATTCCAATTTAACTGGGTGTCATATATTTTTATTTGCCAAATCTGGTAACCCTAAATCGTAGTACCCATGACTGTGACAACCAGAAACGCTTAGAATCATCAAATCTCAAGCCTGAAGGGTCCTTTTGTTATCTAGCCAAGCTCTTCTTCCGTACCAAATGGTTTTCTTTCATACATCCAGAGAATAGGAATTGATTACACAGGAATATCTTCTTCAACTTTAGATAGCCCTAAAAGTTAGAAAGTTCTGAATAGTGAGCAAAATCTGTCTGCTTGAATATTCCATCTATAATGGCTTTCATAGTTCTGGCTGTTTGAGTGCACAAAAACAAGTATGCTTCCTTTATTCCATGAAACCAAGAAAGAATGCTGTGATTGATTTATAATGCCTGTTAGGAATGCAATGAAGGCAATGTTGCAACTTGTTTGCCTTAATTTAAGTCGTCTACATGACAACCTTGAGCTGCCTAAAGAAAAGCTCACCAACACTTTTCAGGCTAAAAATTCTCAATTATTTCTGATTGGACAGGATTGCAAGCCTCTCTTTCCGTCCTGGTTACACTCCTCAGATGTTGCTTCGGCTTCCCTATGATCCGTTTAAAGAGTGATTCCCAGGACTGAAAGAACTCCCAAGTGTAGTCTGACTAGGGAGTAGAAATGAAGCCCTCTCTTCCCATGATCCAAAAACTATAATTTTGCTAATGCAACCCTAGCAGCAGGAGGTCTGCTTTCCCCCCCTCTGCCCAGAAGGGGCCTCTTTACCTGTTGTAAATTGTCTGCCATAAACATAAAATAAACACTGCAGAAGCCCAATTGGGTGATGATTAATAAAAAGCTGACAGTGTACCTGAGAAGGAAAACAAGAGGCAGACAGAGGGAGAAACAAATTATTTTTAAATGCATTTTTTGAGACAATTATTTCTTTTACTATTTTTAGTATTTCCTCATTTTTTAATTTTGAAAAATTTGAAGTCCACAGTAAAAGTTGAAAGACTAGTATAATTAACATCCATATACTCTTTAACTAGATATACTGATTGCTAAAATTTAGCCCTAACTGCATTAAATATGTATGGATGAATGTGTTTATCCATACACACACACACACACACACACACACACACACACACACACGTGCATTTTTTCAGAACTACTTGAAAATTAATTGCAGATATTATAACACGTCAACCCTAAAGACTATAACATAGTCCTCCCTTAGGACTATGATGTCCAGAAAATCAACTTCAATATACTCAGATATATAGTCTATATTTTAAATAACCCAATTCTCTCCAAAGTATCTTTTATAGCTGTTTTAAAACTTTTTTTGATTCAGAATCTAATCACACTTCATATATGGCATTCGGCTATGTTTGTTTAGTATTTTTTTTCAGGTAGAGCTGCCCTGTACATATACACCTTTTTTGTTTCCCGTGGCATTGGCTTTTTGAGAAGAGTCTAAGCCATCTGTCTTGTAGAATGTCCCACATCGTGGACTTAAGTGACTGTTTCCTCATGATTCAGAGAAGCAAGCACACACATAGGTGATACTGTGTACTTGTGTGTCATCACATTGGGAGGCACAGGATGTCCACTGTGATGGCGAATGCTAGGCCTCTCTATTGAAAGTGTACATTTCCTACATTGCAACCTGGAGGGAAAAACTTTGAGATGCCACGAATAGCCTATCCTCCTCAACCCAAGGGTTTTAACATTCATTGACGATCCTTGCTGAATCAGTTATTTCACTGGTGGTCGCAAGGTGGTGATTTTCTAGTTCTGTCATTTCATCTAAGTTTATTAGCTAACGTCTAAGAAAGATATATTCTCCTTTCCTCTTTTTTTATCATAGGAAATTCAATTAATTATTCTCTATTTAATATATTAAACTCTGTTATTGTCGTTATTCTTTTGGATTCTTAAATTGTCCCGTATTTGGAGATGCATTTATTTATTTACTTTAATAAATTTATTAATTTTATTTATTTATTTTTCACTGCGTTAGGTCTTCCTTGCTGTGAGCGGGCTTTCTCTAGTTGCGGTGCGCAGGCTTCTCATTGCGGTGGCTTCTCTTGTTGTGGAGCACGGGCTCTAGGCGTGTGGGCTCAGTAGTTGTGGTGCATGGGCTTAGTTGCTCCGCGGCATGTGGGATTCTCCCGGACCAGGGCTTGAACCCATGTCCCCTGCATTGGCAGGCAGATTCTTAAACACTGCGCCACCAGGGAAGCCCTGCATTTATTTTTTAAGAGAAAAAAATATGTTCCTCTACTTAGGTTCTAAGGTTTAGATCCATGTTTTTCAAGACTGGGTTGTAGTAACCATTGCATCAGAATCATCTGAGGTTTATGGTAAGAATACAGAGTCCTGGCTCTCATATCAGCCTATTGAGTCAGAAGCTTGGCAGAAGCTTGGCAGTGTCATGTGAGACTTCAGAATAGGGATGTTTTTTCTCTTTATTGTTGAGATTTTCAAACATACATGAAAACAATGATAATAATTCAATGACTCCTCGTGTGCTCATCCCAGGTTCAACAATTAACTTTTTGCCAATCCTCTTCCATCTATTCCTTCACCCCCACTGCACACAAGCTTATTTTGTTGGTGTATTTGAAGTGAACTGGAGATGTCAAGTCATTCCACCTGTAAATAATTCAGTATGCAGCTTTAATGGGCTAGAATTTAAATAAAATATAACCATCATGTCCTTAATCACCCCTTACAAAACTAACAATAATTTCTTATATCACTTAATATTCCATCCATAGTCAGATTTTTCCAATTTTTTCAAAAATGTCTATTTCACAGTTGGTTTCTAAACAAGTCTATTCATTGCATTTTGTAATTAAGTCTCAAGTTTTTTAATCTGCTATATTCTCCTTGCCTTATTTATTTTTTCCCTTGCAACTTTAATTTTTTTGGTTGGTGTTGAAGATACCAGAAAATTGCCCTGTAGTATGTTTCACTTTCTAGATTCAGACGATGAATTCATAATGTCATTTATCTTGTTCTTCTATCCCCTGTGTTTCCTGTAAACTGATATTAGATCTAGTGATTTGATAAGACTGAGGTTCTTCATTTATCTTTCTGGCAAGGGTATTTCAGAGGTGGTTCTCTGTACTCCCTACTGTATCCTATTATAAGACACATCATGTCCACTTGTCCCATGTCTAGACATGAGTCGATGACTACATGGGGTCAGGTGATGCCAGTGTATTCTTGCTTTATAGTTTTCCAATGACCTTTCACAATGAGCATCAATTGATGACTGTTGCTTATGTGGAATAGGTAATTTTTAATCAAACTCCCCAGGTATTTCTTAGCATACTAAAAATTACAAATCATTCGTTTAAATAAAATAGTTTCCCAATTCTTTCTCAGCTGCTGGGTCTCCAGAGAAATGGCACAGTATAGTGGATGAGAGCTGAATGTTCTGGATTTCAGTCCTTGCTCTGATCCCTGGGTAACTTGAGCAGCCTTACTGTTCTATCTGGTCTTCATTTTCCTCTACTTGAATAGGCATGGATATAGTGATCTCCAAGGAGCCTTCCTGCCTGAAAGTTTTATTCAGGGTGTCATCAGAAGCTGATAAATCTTCGTGAGAAAGGATGGACAATTGCGAGATCTCTATTATTACTGCCCCGTGCCTTTCCTGTCTGACAATCAGAGTGACTCCTGATTGGGAGATCAGTGACCTACTGACATTCCCAAGAGAGGAGCTGCAGGAAGGATCTTGGCAGGTGAGGGACTAACTCCTGAGGGGCTCTGCTGGGAAAGGCTAACATGTTAGGTGCTTGGTCAAAACTCTGCTTCACCAGTATCTATACCTGTGACCTTGGACACATTATTCCGTCTCTGTGAGCCTTTATCACCATATTTCCTCCCAATAAAGATATACCTGCCTACCTCACAAGGTCATAGAGATGATCAGAGGAGATCAGACAGAGAAGAGCATTCTGTACACCATAAACTTTTTATCCAGCGAGGGTTACAACCTAAATGTTCACCATTAGGGGAAGGACTAAATAAAACCACAGGATCGGGCTTCCCTGGTGGCGCAGTGGTTGGGGGTCCGCCTGCCGATGTGGGGGGCACGGGTTCGTGCCCTGGTCCGGGGGGAACCCCCATGCCGCGGAGCGGCTGGGCCCGTGGGCCGTGGCCACTGAGCCTGCGCGTCCGGGACCTGCGCTCTGCAATGGGAGGGGCCACGACAGTGAGAGGCCCGCGTACCGCAAAAAAAAAAAAAAAAAAAAAAAACCCACAGGATCCATCTATACTGGGGAAACATCGTGAGCCTTACAAAATAATGAGGTCAATCTCTATGTCCCAATGTGGAAAGAAATTAATCATATTATTAGATGAAAGAGCAAATTTGCAAAAAATATTCCAATTAATATACAAGAAAATACAAAACAATATATATATTTCCATTTGTACACATATATACAGAGAAAAAGTACATGCAGAGAAAAAGTCTAGAGGAATGTTTACTAACTAGATATCAGTGATTACTTCTTGGGTGAAGAGTGGGATGGGGGATGGAGCTACCAGGGGAGATTCTCTATATTGTTCAATAGTTTTCAACAAGAACATATTCATTTAAAACTTGTGTTACTAGAAATAAAGAAAAAACAGGTGAGGATTATTATTATTGTTGTTGTTATTACTACTACTACTGTGACATCTATGACTACTACCTTCCCCACACTGAGTGGGTCCTCAGCCAGGCACTTGGGCAGGTTTCGAGGCTGTACATCATGGCCTCTCCATAGTTCACAAACGTCTTTTGCAGTCTAGGGAAAGGACAAGCAATGAATAACTTAAAACATTTTTTTTTTAAAGTACAATGTACTTCCAAAGTGAGTAATTATTATATATTCATGTATTAATATGGGACATTCTGGTAATTTTCTAGCAAATTATACTAGTATAATTTTTATACTATTTTTATAATGGTATACTTTTAAAAGTTTCAGAATTCTGCCTTTTTTGTGTAGTTGTCTTTTTTAACACTAATATTTAAGTGGATATTATTATTATTATTTAGGTAGACAGTAGCTGTGAATTGATTAGGTCTGCAAATAAGGGCAGAGAGGATACGAAAGTTGTGAGGTGTGCACACCTGGTTAGAGGGAGGAGAAGGGAGGGGGACGGGGTATGAGTATGGCCAAGACAGTGGTTCTGTCTTTTCTGGACTTACATTCCCTTCTTCCCACTGTTGAGGGTGTTGGAACATTTGGGATGCTTGCCCTGGACCAGACACCATGCAAAGGTAATCTTTAGCCTGCCCAGCACCCCTATAGGATGTGACACCCCAGTTCCAGCCTATCCCTCTTCCTTCATCCCTCCTTCCCTAGGTGGCCCTTCCTAAGGGACAGGAAGGCCCTGCTGAGGACTGTCAACAGAGCAAGTGGGAGCAAGTTGCCCAGGTCCCTGGAGTTAATTGCATGACTCAGGGGAGTAGCTTGGAGAGGGAAAGGGCCCCAGGCTTGTCAGGGACTAGGGTTTAAGTCCCAATACACCCCCTTAGATGGCTGGGAGACCTTGAGCAAGTCTCTTGATACTTCCAGGCTTCAGTTTTTTTACATACAGTCTGGGTTTTGGGGAGGAGCCAGTAAGAGATGAATATGGTGACACACTGAGGACACGGCATGATGCTTCTGTTTTTATTATTACTCAGTGTGCTTGGCATATGAAATATAGACGAGGTCACATTGCATAGGACTGGCAAATACATTACTCTGAGGATTGCAAATTCAAAAGCAATGGGGATCAGAAAGGTATCAGTAATGTGGTGAGAAGTGCTGGATATGAGACAGAATAGGGGATAGTGGAGACAGTATCCTAGGCTCTGGTACAGGTCTTGCTCCAAAAGGAGTTGATCAGGATGTGGCTCCAGCTGAATGATGAAGGAATGAAGCCGCAGAGGTGGCAGAGTGTCTGACTGGCAAGAAGGTACAGATTTTTTTTATGTGAAATCTACAGGTTTTTAAACACTGGCAAAAACCAAAAAACCAAGGGACTTCCCTGGTGGTGCAGTAGTTAGGACTCTGTGCTCCCAATGCAGGGGGCCTGGGTTCGATCCCTCATCGGGAAACTGGGTCCCACATGCATGCTGTAACTGGGAATTCACATGCCACAACTAAGGAGCCCATGGGCCGCAACTGAGGAGCCCGCCTGTTGCAACTAAGACCCAGCACAGCCAAATAAATAAATAAATAATTTTAAAAACCCAGTAGAAGTCCTCCCAAATATATCTGAAAACCATTGTCAGCTCTTAGGCCATGGGTCTATAACCTCTGTATTAGAGGAAAAAAAAAAAAAGGAAAAACAAATAATCAAAAGCAAAAATCAGGAAAAGGTTGTCATAAATGACAGATGTTGGAAACCTGCACGGTGATAAAATGGTCCTGGCAGGCTTGAGGGAAGAAAAAGATTTGCAGATAGGTTAAGGGGTAGAGTCAGACAGGTCTTAGAATACTGGCTCTGCCTCTTCCTAGCTGTGTGACCTTGAGCAAGGCATTTAACTCACCTAAGCTTCAGTTTAATCATCTATAAAATGGGAAAAATAGTGCCTACCATAAAATTTTACTGTAAGGAATAAATAAAAGAAGACTTGCAAAGCTCTTGCCATGTACCTGGCACAATGTAATTGTGCAATAAATTTAATTGCTGAATGAGTAAATGCTCTTAACAGTGTTTCGTGGGCTGGAAAGTACCACACAAGTTAGGTGTGATTGATATATACTCCAGATGCACCTATTTGGGTTATGATAATTTGACTTTATGAGGAGCTTCATTTAATATCCCTACTTTGACTCATGAGGACTTTCTCCACATCTATGAGGACATATTTAGATTTGCCTGCCTTGGGAGAAGCTGAGCCCTGTGGACAGAAAGCCATAATCCTATTGGCTGTAAAGAATTGCTAATCACCATGAATTGCTAGTTTATAAATATGAAATTTTCAGCATTGTTTGTTTTCACAGCATTTGTCTTTTCCTTCTGGAATTTTGTTTTGCATTACAGTTTTAAATATATAAGCGTTGAGTGTTATATGTATACTTTATTAGGGATTGAAGTGAATGACCCCTGTATTAGGGATATCCCTAATATCCCTGTGAGCTATTCATCTCATTGTTAACTATGTTTTTTTACTGTTACTAACTTGTCCCAAGAAGGGTTTACCTGGAAGAAATTCCCCTTCGAAGGTGTATGTATTGGAGTTGGGGGGAGATGGGGGTGGGGAGATTAAGAGGAAAAGAAAGACATCTTAAGTATCTCGCATATTCATGAATATGTATGAGCACATTTGCATCCTTTATCCCTTTTGATTTCTCTAGATGGGGATATTTGGGCTCAGAGAGTTCAGGAGATTGGCAAAGTTGTCCAGCTAGTTAGCAGCAGAGTTGGGTCCAGACCTAGGAGTTCCCAGGTGGGATTTTAATCACTCCCTCCACCGCCTCTGCAGTATCTAGAGGAGCAGGGGTGGTGGCCTGGAGAGGGGGCCAGCTAATTGGGTCAGCGATCCAGGGAAACTTAGCACACCCTGAGATGGAACCCGGCACCAAGTGACAGAGAAGCAGGACTCTCACCTCTGACTTAGGCGGTGAGCACAGTTCAACAGGATGACCATGCAGTGCACAGTGAGGATCCCGATGGCAAGCAGGCTGAAAGGACCGACCTGGAGGGGAAAGGAGACGTGGGCACAGTGAGCCACAGGTGGATTGCTCCCATACCTGGCCCTCTCCCTGCCTGGGTGCTAGGGTCCCTCTCATAATAGAGATTTAGGGATGAGAGCCCCTGCCTGAATGTCCTTGTGCCCCCAGATGCTCTGGCCTGAATACCCTTCTTGGCATCACTGCAAAGTGGCTGCCCAACCTGTGCTACAATACTTCCAGTAACAGAGAGCTCACTACCTCCCAGACAGCCCATGCCTTTCCTCATCGGCCTTTAGTTCCGCTTCTAGATCTCTCATTCCTTCTCACATCCCAGCCCTTACCTCCTCCAAGATGCTTGAAGACCAAGGTTCCTTTTAGGGATTGGCTTCCTTCCTTTAGTACAAAGCTATCAAAAGGGGCACTACTGATATTTTGGGCCAGCTGATTTTCGTTGCTGCAGGGGGCTGTCCTATACATTGTGGGAGATTTAGCACCATCACTGGCCTCCACGCACTGGATTTCAGAAGCACTCCCTCCCCCTCCTCTCCAAGTTGTGGCAACCAAGAATGTCTCCAGACATTGTAAACGTCTTTGGGGAAGGGGGGTGCAAAATTACCCTCAGTTGAGAATCACTGCTCTCGTATGTCTACTTTCCATGTCCCTTTTATTTTTATAACTAAAAATTGTATGCATTTAAGGTGAACAACATGATTTGATATACATACACAGAGAAACGATGACTAGAGTCAAGCTCATGAACAAGTCTCCTCCTCACAGTCTCCATTTTTTTTATGTGTGATGAGATTAAAAAGCAGGGCTCATCATTCATCATTATCTCCCAGATGTGATCACAACAGCACAGAGCAAAGAGGGACTCTCTCGCCCTCTTTGTGCTGGACACCTGTGACTTTATAGATGTGACCTGTGCTAATATCACAAAGAAATTTGAGAGATGAAGAGCACCACTAGATTGCACCAGGATGTAGCCTCCCTATAGCAGAGACTCTTTTGTCTTGTTTATATCTATATTCCCAGGGCTTAAGAATAGTAGGTGCTCAATATATATTTCTCAAATGAATCATGATTACAGGTTCTGATGGGAGATGGAGGGTAAAGAAATCACCTAATAAGTCTTTGGAACCAAAAATCAAAGGATAAAAGAGTTATCTTAAAAAGCAAAGACCACACTGGCAAAGAGAATTTGGTTGAGGGCCATGTGGTAATAATGCTCTTCAGAAGTTCTAGAACCCTGAGAATTCTAAAGGGGAACTTCCCATCTCTGGGTTGGAACTGATTCAGATTAGAAGTCATGTCAGTAGCCAGGGTCTCAATGTGACTTTTTTAGACATGAGGGCCACTTTGCAGGCCTGGAGAGAAGGAGAAATTCGTTTCCACTAAATGGAAATAATCTATCTATTCAATTCCATGGACACAAACTGGGACTTCAAGTGTGCCAGTCTCTATAGCAGGTATTGTGGGGAGGTGTAAAGATGAATTAGAGAGTACCTGCCCTCAGAGCTTTCAGGTAAGTGAGGAAGATAGGTATTTTTCAAAATAAGCATGTTTCATCTTTGTAAGTGCTGGGAGGATTCCAGGTTAGGTAGATATAAGTTCTAGAAAAACACAAGGTGAAGGAATTTTAATCGGAAACAGTCAAATTTTACAGAGGAGGTGGAGTTCAAAAGACAGAAATAAGGGAGGAGGTAACAGCATAAGCAAGAAGACAGAGGTGGGAGGGCACAGGAAGTGTCAGGGGATTGGTAGAGAATTCGTTGTCCTCATCTTCCAAGCCACTTTCTCACCATCAATCACAAACAGGAGTCACACACTCAAATGCCTGGCGGGGCCAGGCTGCTGATATAAATGAATGAAATAACAAGGATATAATCCTAGGGAGCTGGGAGAACTGTGGCAAAGTAGATTCTGCATCAGTATGCGAGTATGGTGAGTCTTTAAGACCAATAGTGGGGAAGGGGAACTGGATGGAGGTGGTCAAAAGGTACAAACTTCCAGTTACGAGATAAAAGGTACTGGGGGTGTATTGTACAACACAATGACTGTAGTTAACACTGCTATATGGTATATTTGAGAGTTGCAAAGAGAGTAGATCCTAAAAGTTTTCATCACAAGGAAAAAACATCTATTTTTGTAACTCTATGGGGAGATGGATGTTAACTAAATTTATTGTGGCAATCATTTTGTAGTATACGTATGTCAAGTCATTATGCGGTACATCTTAAATTTATACAAAGCTGTATGTCAATTATATCTCAATAAAACTGGAAAAAAAAAAAAAGAATGGCTTGTCTCCTCCAGGCATGCTCCATTTAGCTCTGGGTTGGCTCCAGTGGACTGATGCCAATAGGCTCATTTCCTATTCCAAAGGGTGACCCCCTAAGCAATAGGCTTATTGCCCATTGATAAACAGTACTAAGGCCTTAGGGACCCACCAACCCTTTCCCCCAAATGGGTAGACCTGGTCCCCATTGCACAGGTCCATCTTACCAATAAGCCGGCATTTTTCATGGCCAGAGGAAGCCCCAGGAGCCCCGTGCCAATGTTGCATTTCAATAAGTGAATCAAGGTTTGCATAATCCTGTAGGGGGAGCATAAGGCAACAAAAGGGTATGTTAGCGGAGGGAAAGGAGACGCAACTGCTCAGGCTTCTTTCAGCCTCTCCAGGCACCCTGTGGTGGGAAGACAAAATCAGATGAAGGACACTCTGGTTTAACTCTCAGTTCCCAGGATCTGTTCTGGAACCTCTGATCAAGGGCTGGTGCTTGTTCAGGTGACTCAACAAATATTTAACACACACTAGACTCTAAAGAAAAAGTTAATAACCATTGCTACTATTCTGGATAACTCCCTAGTACCAGTTTATTCATCAATGCATTCAACGATTTCTTTCGTGATACTTGCACTCAAAATGTGTTGAGACCTACTAGATGTTTGGCATTTAGATAGACATGGAAAAAATAATAAGAATTTTCTCAATTTACAGGTAATTATCGCTGCCCAGTCATTTATTAATTCATTCACTAGAGAAACAACCGTCTGCCACCACATATGGAGTATTTATTGGTTCTAGTTCACTCTTTCATCCATTTACTCAACAATATGCACTGCAAACTTATTCCATGCTATGCACTGGATACAATTTAATAACAGTTGCTAAACGTGCATATAGAACACTTACTATGTGCCTGGCAGGGTGCTAGATATCAGGGTTCTAAATGTTCTCCACACCAGTGCTGGCAGCGCCTGCTCAGGCACCACCAGTCCACTAGGGAGGGGAAATGTGGAACAGGATCTTGAGAAGAGAATCAAAAAGGAATTGAAATGAAAAGTTGTCTGCAAAGGACTGAACTGCGGTAGGACCACTGGATTCTGAGTTCTAGCTCTGCCATTAACCGACTGTGTTTGATCACTATTTTGGGAAGGCCCCTCAGCTGCTTACATCTTCTGTTTGTTCATCTTGACCTGCCTACCTCCCAAGGATATAATAAGAATCAGAAGAGGTAATGACGTAATGAATCTTGGAATTGTGAAGGGCTTCACAGATGTGAGGCATCATCACCATCAACATCATTATCATCATCATCCTCATCACCACCACCACCTTTGGTTTGGCCTTATGGTGCTCACCTGTTTGAAACGGCTTCCTAAAGAGGAGGCAGAGCTGGGGTGATAGAAAAAAGGCAAGCAAGGGCTGGTTTAAGCAGGTAGTGGGGCCCCCTCCTCCTGTAACAAAAGGTACCTGGAGGAGGTCATTGGAGGCACCTCCTTGTGCAGCCTTTGGACTGTCTGGAGGCAGCCCGGAGGGTGGAAATAAACTGACCAAGGTCACATGGCGAGTCAGGGCTCACGCCTCCTGGTCTTGTCCTGTTGGTTAGGGTGTCAGGGCTGGGTCAGGTTTTGGCATTTCAGTATTGCCCAGGGAGAGGGCTGGGGCTGAGAGAAGACAGTGACTTCCTGCATCTCTGTGAGTTCAGACTTTTCACCTAAGCAAAGGGGGGGGTGGTGGTACAAGTTGTCCCTTCACTTCCAACAGAAATTTATATTTCTTGGTAACTGCAATTTTTGAAAAATATGTCAAAGTCAAAAAAAAAAAACCCACCCTATTTAAAACAATCTTTTGTCAATTCTTTGATAGTAATTTCTCCAAAAGATGTGCCCCCTTCCTGTTCTCCATCCCTCCATCTCTCATTTCTTTCCTACAGCAGCGTCTTGCCCAACCTGATCAAATCTCTTGGGAAGGGTGAGATAAGGGTTTGGAGAAAACATTGCACCTCAGTTAACAGCATCATAGATCAGGGCTATGAGGAGTAAAACACATGTTGGGAGCTCCCAGGGACTTAAAAAAAGTTCCTATTTTTTTTCCTTGAAAAATGATACATTGTCATTATAAAAGGAAATACTCAAATTCCACCAATTGGAAAAAACTACTTTTAACACTTTAACATTCCTCTAGGCATCCTTACTTGTCTATAAATGCACACAGATTGTACACAAGGAGAACCATTATAATACTGTATTTTAATTTTCTTTATGACTAGTATGTCCTACATATTTTCACACAACCATAGATTTCCTTCATCACTCCTAATGGCTGTATTGTATCCCACTATGTGTATCATACTTTAAATAATCTCTCGTTGTTTCTCAATTGTCAGTATTACAACCAGATCTGAGGTTAATATCTGGCTTCAATAAAATTATCATTCATACCTGCATTATTATCTCCTTAGGAAAAATTCCTGGAAGTGGTATAACTGATCAAAGGATTTATTTATTTATATTTACTTACGCTTAAAAAGCCCTAAGTAGGGGACTTCCCTGGTGGCGCAGTGGTTAAGAATCCACCTGCCAATGCAGGGGACACAGGTTTGATCCCTGGTCCGGGAAGATTCCAAATGCCACAGAGCGACTAAGCCTGTGCGCCACCACTACTGAGCCCGCGTGCCACAACTACTGAAGCCCACGCGCCTAGAGCCCGTGCTCTGCAACAAGAGAAGCCACTGCAATGAGAAGCACGCGCACTGCAACGAAGAGTAGCCCTGGCTCGCTGCAACTAGAGAAAGCCCACGTGCAGCAACGAAGACCCAACGCAGCCAAAAAAAAAAAAAAAAAAAAAGCCCTAAGTAACACAGTATGAAATTCAAAAGGTAAAACAAACTAAAAAAGAACCCAAAAAAACCTTATGTAGTGAACATAAATGTCTCTTCTATCTCTGCCTCTCAGTCTCCCAATTCTCGTAGCCAGAAGCAGCCACTACGGCCAGTTGTGTGTGTGTGTGTGTGTACTTTAAAAGAAAGCATAGACCAAATAAGTATTTGTATGTTTTATATAAATATGTGTTAGGATTCGACATATATTACAACATTGCCATCTAGAAAGGTACTAGCTTAATTCTCCCCAAAAGGACATGACAGAGGACGTTTCCTGACATCCTTTCAACACTGGGTATTGTCATTTACAATCTCTCTATACCATGGATATTATCTGATCTGATTACTAAATAATAGTCTGATTGGCAATACAGCCCTGGGGAAAAGAGCCACGTGTCTGAGTTTATGGGAGTAAAAGTAGGGACATGGGTCTAGGAGGTGAACTTCTATTTCCTGGATGGGTTTGTATGAGGAAGGGAGAGGGAGGCTGGTGGGCGGGGAGAGAGGGAGAGAGGGAGAGGGAGAGAGAGTATGAATGATAGCAGAAGTCGACAGAGAGGCAAGCAGCTTGAAACTGCTGAAGAAAGAACAGTCAGCCTGAGATAGAAAATTGTTGTAGGAATTGAGAAGCTCACGTTGGGGACTTCCCTGGTGGCCCAGGGGTAAGACGCCACTCTCCCAACGCAGAGGGCCCCGGTTTCATCCCTGGTCAGGGAACTAGATCCCGCATGCTGCAACTAAGAGTTTACATGCCACAACTAAGAAGTCCGCATGCCACAACTAAGATCCCGGAGCGCCGCAACTAAGACCTGGCACAGGTTAAATAAATAAATTACTTAATTTAAAAAAAAAGAAGCAGCTCATGTTGGGGATGACTCTGCGATTTTGCAAAACCTGTGAAACAGGTGTAATACCCAGAGCCACATGGGTCAAACTTCTTAGATTCTGAAGGTTTCGTCTTTAATCCACGTGTCTCCTGTTCAATGGGAATAAATGTGTTAAGAAGAGAGACGTAGGAAGTTGTGGCCCAGCTCTGTGAAGGCAGCCGTGCCTGACCTCAGATAGAGGAGGGCCGTGCAGCCACTTACGATAATCCATTGGCTTCCTCTTCAGGACGGACACTCTCTGAAGTGATGCTACTTCTACTCTCCAAGAGTGACTTGGCCCCATCATCCAAGGACTTGGGCTCGCTGTTGTTGTCCCTTGCAAGCAATGAGATCTTCTGCATGGTGGGTAGGTGGTGGTGGCTCAGGGTTAAGGACTGTAACAGCCTTGAACCAGCCTCCCATGGGTTTTTCTCCAGAGGAACCAAGGCTGCAGCACGGAGACGCTGGCTCCTAATTCCCAAGGGTGCCTGGCCCTGGCGCTGGTGAGAGGGGGACGCTGATGTCGATTATATGCCTCACTTGGCTTTGGGGACTTACGAGAGTCTCATCTCGGGATGATTCTCAGGGCTCCTTGTGATTGCCCCCGCCACACGCTGGGACTCGCCCGGGCTTTCAGCCCCTCCCAGTTTAGCCCTTAGTGCTTTAGGGCAAAGTGAACTGTGTGACTGGGAGGAAGAAGACAGCATTGGACTGGAGGTTCTGGTGCCTGGATGTAGGGCCAGGCTCAGGGCTTGTCTGTCTTTGGTAAGGAGGAAACCAGAACTACCTCACAATGGAGGCTGCCCGGCCAATAAGGTGCTGCTGACTCGCAGGACGCAGGTGTGGCTCAACAGAGGGTAATCTGGCTGCCACCTTCGCTGCGTGGGGGTCGAGTGGCTTTGTTTTTAAATTGATGTGTAGTTGATTTACAATATTATATTAGTTCCAGGTGTACAACATAGTGATTCAAAATTTCTATAGATTAGCCTCTAAAGTTATTATAAAATAATGGCCATATTTCCCTGTGCTGTACAGTATATTATTTATTTTATACATAGTAGTTTGTACCTCTTAATCCCCTATCCCTGTCTCATCCCTCCCCCTTCCCCTCTCGCCATTGGTATCCACTAGTTTGTTCCCTGTATCTGTGGAGTCTCTTTCCTCACAGTTTGTTATAGTCATTCGTTTGTTTTATTTTTTAGATTCCACATATAAGTGATAACATACAGAATTTGTCTTTCTCTGTCTGACTTATTGCACTAAGCATAATACCCTCCAGGTCGATCCATGCTGTTGCAAATTTTCCTTCTCTTTTATGACTAATAGTCCATTGTATATACACCAAATCTTCTTTGTCCATTCATCTGCTGATGTGCACTTAGGTTGCTTCCATCTTTTGGTATTTGTAAATAATGCTGCTATGAACATTGGGGTGTATGTATTTTTTCAAATTAGTGTTTTTGTTTTCTTCAGATATATACCCAGGAGTGGAATTGCTGGATCATATGGTAATTCTGCTTTTAGTTTTTTGAGGAAGCTCCGTACTGTCTTCTATAGTGGCTGCACCAATTTACATCCCCACCAACAGTGTACAAAGGTTCCCTTTTCTCCACACACCCCCAACACTTGTTATTTTTGGTCTTATTGATGATAGCCATTCTGACAGGTGTGATGTGATACCTCATTGTGGTTTTTTTAAAAAGCATTTATTTATTTGGTTGCGCTGGGTCTTAGTTGCAGCAGGCGGGCTCCTTAATTGTGACTCGTGGGCTCCTTAGTTGTGGTGTGTGAGCTCCTTAGTTGTGGCATGCGAACTCTTAGTTGTGGCATGCATGTGGGATCTAGTTCCCTGACCAAGGATCGAATCTGGGCTCCCTGCATTGGGAGTGTTGAGTCTTATCCACTGCACCCCCAGGGAAGTCCCTGATTGTGGTTTTGACTTGCATTTCTCTGATGATTAGCAATGTTGAACATCTTTTCATGTGCCTGCTGGCCATCTGTATGTCTTCTTTGGAAAAATAAAGATGTATATTTTTAATGGCTATTAATTTTTGCCTTTAAATATCTAATTTTTAATTCTTAATAGAATTCTGGGTTTGCCACTTACTAGTTGTGTGGCATGGCCAAGTCACTTAACCTTTCTGTGCCTTACATTCCTCATCTGTAAAATGAGTATGATAGTAATACCAATGTCAGAGCATTGTTAGGAAGATTAAATGAATTAACATGTGTACAGCATTTAGAACAGTGCTCAGCATCTGGTAAGCACCAATAAGTTATTACTGTTGCTAATACATTTTCTAAATGGCTAGCTAGTTTTCCCAACACCATATATTGAATAATCTATCTTTTCCTCATTTTATTTGAAAGGTTTCCCTCATATTAATCAAATTTCTCTGTAGGCTTGGATATGTTTTTTTGTATTCTCCTTTTCCATTGGTTAGTCTTTTCTAATGCTAGTACCAAATTGTTTTAATTATGTAGTATATTTAATATCTGATAAGAAAGGGCCACTTTACCTTTTTCATGATTTTATTTCCCCCCTCCATTAATCCTTCTAGATAACTTTAAGAATCTCCTAACCCCCTCAACCCCCCACTGAAATCTAGTTGGGTATTTTTATTGAGATTAAGTTAGATTGATAGATTATATTGGGCAAAATGGTCATATATACAATTTGAGTTTTCCCATCTAAAGCATGCATTATGACTCTATTTATGGAAATCTTAATTTATGCCTCTTAGTAGACTTTTTCTTCACATAGATATAGCACATTTTAAAAGTTTGTTTCTAGGTGCTTTTGTTTCCTGTTGTTACGTGTAGGATTTCTAATAACTCCTCTTTTATTTATTTTTATTACTATTTTTGAATTGAGGTAATTCTGATTTATAACATTATATGTTTCATGTGTACAATATTATAACATTATGTTTCATGTGTACAATATTAAATTTCTACTTCTCTATACACTACAGTATGCTCACCACCATAAGTTTAGTTTCCATCCATCACCATACAGTTGACGCCCTTTACCCATTTTGCCCTCCCCCATCCCTCCCCCTCTGGAAACTACTGCTCTGTTCTCTATATCTATGTGTTTGTTTTTGTCCAGTTTGGTTTGTTCATTTATTTTGTTTTTGTTTGTTTATTAGTTTTTAATATTCCACATATAAGTGAAATCATAGGGTATTTGTCTTTGACTTATTTCTTTTTAAAAGATTAATTAATTGTTGACTGTGTTGGGTCTTCGCTGCTGTGCGCTGACTTTCTCTAGTTGCGGCGAGCGGGGGCTACTCTTTGTTGCAGTGCATGAGCTTCTCATTGCGGTGGCTTCTCTTGTTGTGGAGCACAGGCTCTAGGCACGTGGGTTTCAGTAGTTGTGGCATGTGGGCTCTGTAGTTGTGGCTCACAGGCTCTGGACTGCAGTTGTGGCTCATAGCCTTAGCTGCTCCACGGCATGTGGGATCTTCCTGGACCAGGGCTTGAACCCTGTCCCCTGCATTGGCAAGCAGATTCTTAACCACTGCGCCACCAGGGAAGTCCCTGTCTGACTTATTTCACTTGGCGTAATACCCTCAAGTTCTATCCATATTGTCACAAATGGCAAGATTTTCTCTTTTTTGGTGGCTTAGTAGTATTCCGTTGTATATATATATATATCACTTATTCTTTATCCACTGTTTCCGTATCTTGGCTCTTGTCAATAGTAACACAGTGAACACAGGGGTTCGTTTACCTTTTTAAATTGGTGCTTTTACGTTATTTGGATAAATGCCCAGAAGTGGGATACATGAATCATATGGTAGGTCTGTTCTTGTAGAATCTGAAGAATCTTGGAGAATTCTGAAGAATCTGCATACTGTTTTCCATAGTGGCTGCACCAATTTACATTCCCACCAAGAGTGCACAGGAGTTCCCTTTTCTCTACTTCTTCACCAACACTTGTTATTTCTTGTCCTTTTGATAACAGTCATTCTTATCAGTGTGAGGTGATATCTCATTGTGGTTTTGATTTGTATTTTCCTTATAATTAGTGATGTTGAGCATCTTTCCATGTGCCTATTGGTCATTTGTATGTCTTCTTTGGAAAAATGTCTATTCAGCTCCTCTGCCTATTTTTTAAATGGGTTGTTTGGGTTTTGTTGTTGAGTTGTATGAGTTCTTTATATATTTTGGATATTAATCCCTTAATGAATATATCATTTCCAAGTATTTTCTCTCATTTAGTTGGTTGTCTTTTCCTTTTATTGATTGTTTCCTTTGTTGTGCAGAAGCTTTTTAGTTTTATGTAGTCCCATTTATTTTTGCTTTTGTTTCCCTTGCCTGAAGAGACATATCTAGAAAGATATTGCTAAGACTGATGTCAAGGAGGGTACTGACTCTCTTTTCTTCTAGGAGATTTATGGTTTCATGTCTTATATTCAAGTCTTTAATGCACTTTGAGTTGATTTTTGGGTATGGTGTAAGATAATGGTCTAGTTTCATTTTTTTTCATGTGACTATTTATTGAACACTATTTATTGGCCACAGGCACAGCTACCTGTGGCCGCAGGCACAGCTGTGGTCAGGAGGCTGGAGTTGTGTGCTCCACCTCCCCTTCTACTCTTGGGTTCTCTGAAGCTGCGGTTTAGCTGCCACGGTCAAAGGGCTGGGATTGCAGGCACCAACTCTGCTGGTCCCTCAGTTCTGCCTCCTTTATGTGTTTCAGTCTACCCACCTTTAGGTATACAGATGTTTAGAATTCTCTAGTGTCCTGGTGTGTTGGGCAGAGGAGCCTTTGTTGAGTTGTGGATGTTTGACTGATTGTAGATTGAAGGGGGGAGAGAGAGAGGTAGCTCTTCACTCCATGTTGCTGATATCATTCCACTCATTTTGTTTTTTTGATGACGATTAGTATGTAGGAAAGATAATGATTTTGCAGATTATATTTTAATTAATTAATTAATTTTTGGCTGTGTTGGGTCTTCGTTGCTGCATGCGGGCTTTCTCTAGTTGCGGCGAGCGGGGGCTACTCTTCATTGTGGTGCACGGGCTTCTCATTGTGGTGGCTTCCCTTATTGAGGAGCACGGGCTCTAGGTGCGTGGGCTTCTGTAGTTGTGGCATGTGGGCTCAGTAGTTGTGGCTCACGGGCTCTAGAGTGCAGGCTCAGTAGTTGTGGTGTGTGGGCTTAGTTGCTCCGCGGCATGTGGGATCTTCCCGGACCAGGGCTCGAACCAGTGTCCCCTGCGTTGGCAGGCGGATTCTTAACCACTGCGCCACCAGGGAAGTCCCAAAGATGCTTGTATTTATGTTTATATTGGGTCATGGTTTTTCTGTGTGCTTTGTCAGATTTTGGTATCAGAATCAGGATATCTTTGTATAAAAAGTAGGGAAGACTTTCTTTTCTCTCTAGGCCTGAGAAGAGTTTAAATAGCATCAGGCAGACTTGAAGGGTGGCAAGGAAATCCTGCTTTGCTCCTGAATCACCATACAGTCTCCAGAAACCCCCTCTTCAGTTCACAGCTGATTTATTACTTATAAAGAGAGGCTGTGGGGTTTCTAATTTTTTAAAATGTGTAATCCACTGGACACATTTTTCCCATTTTTACTTTAACCACCATCATTCAAAGGTCTCTCCTGGGCTCTCTACAAAGCAGTGAGGAGTGATGGTGTGGAAAGTCTTCAGTCCTGAACCCATTTGTCACTACATGTTTGATCGTCAGCAAGTTATTCAATATTTCTAAGCCTATTTCCTTATCTGAAAATGAGAACAATGACAATACATACCTCATGGTTTCATTGTAAGGATTAAATGAGATAAGCACATGCAAAACACTTAAAAAGTGCTCACTGAGGAATGGAATGATTTTCTCTGATCCTTGATTCAAAAGCAAGCTCCCAAAGTTAAAGAATCAGTAGGGGGGTAGGGAGGGGGAAGCCTCTGTGTGTGTGTGTGTGTGTGTGTGTGTGTGTGTATGTAAAAACCCAGTATCGAACAATTAAAAAATTTTAATACCCCCAACACTCACGCAATTCTAATAGTTGGTATCTTTAGTGTTGCTGACAATTACTAATAAGTTTCCCCAGATTGCTTTTATTGCTTATATCCATGTTGCTAAATTTCTTTCTTTCTTTCCAAGATTTAACTTTAGCCAGACTAGTCTAAATGATAAGATTAACCTGATCATCTTACACAGTAGGGACTTGTCCTTGGAGAATGAGAGTGACCATTTTTTAATAACAGAGAAAACAATCTTAAACTTAGCAAGGTTGGGTGGGGTGACAGTTGAGCCAGGTGGAGGAGACAGGGTCAGAGAGAGGAAGACCACTTTGCCAAGCCTCTGAACCAATCGGTGGAAGTCCTTTGGGTCTTTTACATTTCTGATGTAGAAATGATGACCCAGCTCTCTGGCCAGGTAGGCTGTGGACCACTGCAGAGGCTATGAGTGTCCCATCTCCCAGCAGGTACTCTGCAGACTATGGGATCTGGGTGTGGAGCTTGTGTTCATGAAGTACCTTCTGGAATCCAGCAGGCAGAAAGTAACACACAAAAACAGGAGACCAGAACTTGGGAATTGGGGCAGACACGCCCCTCACCCCTCCGTAACTTCCCTAGGCTGCAAAGGGAGGATGATGGATAAAAGTAAGCAGGAAAGGGCTGTTTAAAATGGTATCTTAAAACTGAGGCTGAAACAAGCATGGGTCACTTTCCAACGCCATACAGAGTGTAATAAGAAACATCCTTACCCCCCACTAAACTACAGATCTGCCTACAACATCTCATTTATCTATATGCCTTTCCCCAATTTTAGTGATTTTAGGGAGGAGGGAGGGAGCCGTCACCACCAAGAAGGGTGAAGTGCTGTGTTGGGTTGAGGGGCTCCTGGCTGTCAGCCAAGGTCAGACATGACAAAAGGCACGGGAATGTCAAGGCAGCAGGATTGAGTGGAAGGACGGTCAGAATCAGTGTTGGGAGACCCAAGTTCTACTCAAAATCCAGCTCTAATGGTGCCACCGGTGGAAAGACATGCTCAGTACTCCAGAGCAGTTAGTGTCCCCCTGCCCTCAAACGGACCTATGATGGTATTAACTTAGTTGATGACCTGTCATTATTCCCCAGTGGAGAGCAGACTAGCTGGAGGACGGAGATTCTTTTCTCACTCATTAGTGTATCCCCTTTAGAGAAATGTATCAGTTAGCTTTTGCTGCATAAAAGCTTCCACATCTTATGGCTTAAAACTAAAAACATTTATTATTTCTCATAATTCTGTGGATCATCTGAGCAATATTTATGGTCCAGGCCAGCTTGACTGGGGCTGTATATAGTCTAGGATACTTCACTCACGTGTCTGGAAGTCGGCAGGCTGGCTGTTCTGGGAGATGGGGCTCAACTGGGATGATTCATTTCTGCTCCACATGGTCTCTCTTCCTCCAGCAGGCTAGACCCGGCTTCTTCACTTGGTGCTCTTATCTACACAGAGCATCACGATGAAAGTTCCAATGCATTAGCCGTCACGAAACCTCTGCTTGCGTCACATTTACTAATGTCCCATTGGCCAAAGCAAGTTACAGGGCCAAGACAAGTTTCTAGGGGTAGAGATATAGATTTCACTTCTTGATGGGAGCTGCAATGTCACATTGTCAAGAGGAATTTGTCGCCATTTTTGCAAACTATTACAAGAACTTTGAACTATGGTTGGTGTGTGGTAGGTAAGAAAGAATGCTTGTTGCAAGAATCAAGAGGTTAAAGAAAAAAAAAGAATCAAGAGATAAATAATGAAATAATCATTGTCCATCCCCACCCTACCCCCCACCCCCCGCCATTGGCACATCCATTTCTGTGACGACTGTCCCTTGTTGAGATCTTTGAATTGGGCCAAAACTTTATCCAGTTGTTTAGAAAGTTTATTGCCCTTGACTTAAATATGGTGGTTCCTTTCTGTCTGAGAGTTGCAGCTCACCATGGACCTGTGGATCCTGTCCATCTTGACGCTGGAGCTGTGCACACCTTGCTGGATTATGGATTATGTCCCCACTCTTAATCTTTGCTCTTTAAACAGATCTGGAAAAGAGGACACCCTTTGTCTACCAAATCACCATCAGCCTTAGCTGGCTGCACAGGTGCTGCCTCTTGGATGCCCCCTGGTGGCTTCCTCTTGCATAGCCCCACTCAAGGTGTGAAATTCATCGTGTGAATTGCCAAAAACCCGAATGGAATCAAGAGCCTTCAGTGAGAGAGCTCTCAGTGTAGTGGAAAGCTAGAGACGGAAAGAAAATAAATAAAAAAAAATTTTTTTAAATTACCATCTAGACCTTGTAGCTGGTGAGTCCGTGCTTGTTTCACTGTGACTTGACTCAGAGAAAGGTAAAGCAGCAAAATATAGATAATGCATATAGAAGAGATTTATATCATTAAATGTCAGGTGCTGGTGGGTAAGAAGCAGTGCCATTTTCACTGAATAAAAATGGTGGAGTTGGAAAAGGTGAGAGTGTCTTCTGACTGGATCAGCTCGTCCAGGGCCTGGTAGGTCCCCATCACAAAGCCCACGAAGCCCAGGATGCTGATCAGGGCGTCCTTGATGATGGTGATGGGACTCATGCCCTCTGAGTAGTAGGTGGTGATCTCCAGGAGGGGTGGGATGATGAGGGCCAGGGCACTGCTGCTCAGGGAGCCCACCAGAGAGAGGACCAGGTCCAGGCGGGGGATGAGGATGGCCAAGATGCCTGCGGGAGATGATACGGGATAGAAGGCTCTTCCCAGGCTTAGCCAAAATTTTAAAGTTTGTTTTAAAAATCTTTTTCTTAAAACATATACCAGTTGTTTCTCATACATTCAGTTACTTAAAGAAAAAGCTGAAACTCCTGTAATAACCCCCAATCACATTCACTAGAGGTTTATACATTAAAATTTTGGTGTGTCTCCTTTCAATCATTTTCAACCAATTATTGTTCAAATATATACATTCATATTGTTGGGGAGAAAAACCTTCCCTCTTCCCATTCAGGTTCAAGTGTTTGAGGGCCTGAGAATTTAACTGACAATTAGGCAATTAACAGGCAGAAAGACAAAGTTTATTTAGGGCTAGGGAGCCTTCAGATGAATTGGCTCTCCAAACAAAGAAGGGGAACTGGATGGGGGAGAATTAGCTTCCATGCAAGAACAAGTGGAATGTATGACATTCTCTGATAATTTAAGTAATTACTCAGTCTGTGATGATGGTTAGTCTTCTTTCTGATTGAAAATCTCCCAGAAAGGGGATTTATGGTGCCTGTATTTTTCAGAAGTTCCTGCTTAATTCAGCAAAGGAAGTTTAGATAAGGGTTTGCAACCCCTGTGGCTGCTTGTTCTAATGCTTTTAGCCTAAGATAATTTTTATGCCACAGAAGTACATTTCGAATCTCTACATGTTCAATGATTAAGCTCTTACTTAATAAATAACACTAAATAACAGTGCTGGGAACTGTCCAGCTGTTTGGAATGTGTCAATGTACAAAATAGACAAAAAAAAACCCCTACCTTCATGGAACTAACATTAATAAGTAACATGACTGCAAGAACCTCTTACTTGCAAACAATTAGAATGTGAAATTATTTATAGAAAGGGGTCTTCAGTGGGAACAAGATCACAGGGTCCTTCTAAAGCAGTATCTTCTCCAGGTTTTATATACATGTCAGAAAACATCTAACAAAGAAATACTAAAAGCTAAAATAAAGATTTTGAAATTATATATATATAATATATACGTATATGTGATTACATAATTATATTTTATAATTATATAATTATAATATGTAACATATAATATAATTATATGTTTAAATTTATATATATAATTATATATTATTTATATATGTATATAGTTTTTTTTGTAGGCTGTTTTATAGGCCTGGGCTTTTACATTTTTTATTTTACCTGATGGACAATTTTCCTAGTTACAAAGAAAGCCCAGAAGGCTCCCCCAGGTCTCCTAGGATGGAGTGTGGTATAACAGAACAAAACAGGACTGGAAGGCAGGATTCTGGTTTCTCCCTGTGTGGCCTTGGGTAAGTCTCCACCCGTTTCTCAGTTTTTTCCCTCATCTGCCAAATGGAGATGGTAGCTATCCTTTTAGGTATTATGGTTCATACTGCAAATGGTGTTAAAGTTGTTTTTTGCTTTGTTTGTTTTTTTGCGGTACGCGGGCCTCTCACTGTTGTGGCCTCTCCGTTGCGGAGTACAGGCTCCGGACGCGCAGGCTCAGCGGCCACGGCTCATGGGCCCAGCTGCTCCGCGGCATGTGGGATCTTCCCGGATCAGGGCACGAACCTGTATCCCCTGCATCGGCAGGTGGACTCTCAACCACTATGCCACCAAGGAAGCCCAGGTGTTAAAGTTTTAAATGAGTTAATTCGTGTAAAACACTCAGAAAAGTTATTTTTGTTATTATTTCATTATTACTTTATTATTATTACTTGTTTGCAAGTAACCGTTTGCATATGTACTGACTGGGGCAATGCATACAGAAGCTTAAGGAATTGTTATCTTCATATCTGGGGCAAATTCATTGATCTTTCTGGAGTCTCTAATATTCTGAAGGGTAGTGTCCCTGCCTCCTAGGACAAATTGGGAACAAATAACTTCAAAGGAAGAAAATCAGTGTCCCATGATTTATATGGGCTGGTCTAGCACAGCAAGAATCACAATTAAAAGGAGGCTTAGGGACAGCTGGGCCATGGCAAACGCAACACAGGAAGCTCTATCATCTTCGCCTCCACTAAAATACTTACAGAAAGGGGCACCCTGGATCATAGGGCCTGGAGCACAAGGAGGGCTGCCGAGGGGGTGAGTGGGGACAGTTGAAGCCAACAGGTGAATACCAGCCCATCGGAGGCCAAGGCACTGCTGCCAATGGGGATGTGACCCTAGGTTTGCCAAATCATTTTATTTTTCCCCCAAACATTAGAAATCTGCATTTGTATGTGAGACCTCTCCCACATTTTTAATGTTGGCCCAAATTTATACAACATTATGAGGGTGAAACAACATACCTCTGATGCCAGATTAGACTCACTGGCCACCATTTTCAACCTCTGTCCTGGAGGTGAAGGGTGATGGGCCTGGACTTGGGTTCAAATCCCACCTCTGGCACTTCCTGCCCAATTACTTATCACTCTCTGCTTCAGCTTTCTCATTTACAAAGTAGGGTTTATCACAGTCCTACCTCATAAGAGTTCCTGCAAGGACTGAATAAAATACTATGAAATATGGAACAGAAAGAGCTTAGCACAGTGGCTGGCACATAGTAGGTGGTTAATAAAAGTCAGTTCTTATTGTGATTATTATTTGATAAGTTGTCACTCCCTCAAGCTGGACACCGGTAAATCTGTCTAATTAGGTACATGTAAGAATTAAGCTGCCCCTAAAGCATAAATGAAATGAATTACTACTTGGAAAGCATTAGAATGGTCCCTGAAACACAGTTAGTATGCAATCAATGCTGGTTATCATGACTATTGTCTACCATCTGGCTGATTCCTGATAACCCTCAGGAAAACAGCAACGAGGTGCTCTGCCTCCTACTCACATGTCAGGCTGACCATGGCGAGGCGGATGAACAATTCCAGAGGCAGTGCCCAGCGCTTTAACACCTGGGAGGTGGCGAAGGGAATGATGATTTCTGCAGGGACGTAGAACTGCAGGGCGTAGGTGCACAGGATGCCAATTATGTAGAGGATCTTGACTGACTGGTACAGCCTGCAGGACAAACCAGAGCAGTGCTCTCAAGGCCAACGTGCTCTGACACCTGACCTCCTTGTTATTTTGTTTTTGCTTTTTTTTTTTTTTGGCCTCTCTGCACGGTATGTGGGATCTTAGTTCCCCGACCAGGGATTGAAAGCCCCCTACACTGGAAGTGTGGAGTCTTAACCACTGGACTGCCAGGGAAGTCCCTGGCCTCCTTGTACATTAACCTCTGACCTTGGAACAGTCCCATAGGCAAATGTTTCCTTGTCTGAAAATGATGGGGAGGGACCTTCTATGAGAGGAAGTCACAGCAGAGCATGCAGTGGAAATAGAGTGAACCATCACAGATTCAAATGGAAACTGTTGAGAGCGTCCTCTCTACATAAAAAGAATCTCAGGTATGGGTATATATAACACCTTCATAAACCATCATCACTTGATGCTGAATTTTCGATTTTAGGAAACAGAGGCTCAGGCCCGGTACCTTGCTCAGGGAGATACAAGTGATAAGGGGTGAAGACCAAAAAACCTGGGTCTAAAAGATCTGCTCTTCTGTAATCTCTTTTCTTAGGAATTCTCTGGATCCCCCAAAGCACCTGGCATGTAACAGGCTCTCAACAAATGCTTCCAGGTGGTTGAATGAACTGCAGAATCCCAAATCCTTGAGGGAAGAGGTAGTCTACACAGAGGATTGTGTGAGGGTTGGGGGATAAAAGGAGAGGCAGGGTTACCTGCAGGCCTCAGACTGGGGGCAGGAGAGCATGTGATGGGGGATGCTGAGTTTTATCGATGCCTTTTTTGACCAATGGAGATAAGGCTTTTTTCATTTAGCCCACTAATGTGGTAGATGCATCTGGCATGTTAAATAAACCTGTATGACTGTGTCTGTGTATATTTAGTCCATTCCTTAAAAAGGCAAACTTCCACATCTCTGTGTTTCTTGCTCACACTCTATCTGCTGCCTGGAACACCCTCTCTACTCCCTTTCCATCTGTGCAAACCCCACCTATTTTTTAAAATTCCCATCTTTAGAGGAGGTGCTACATTGCAGATGCTTTTAGGCATGCCCAACTTAATCCACATGATAACGCTGCTTTTTAGAAGAGGAAACTGAACATCAGAGAAGTTAAATAAACCATCCATGACCATGAGCTAGGAGTTGGTGTAACTGGGTCTTGGATTCAGAGGTGCTGTCGTTGTCCTTGTTTGGACGGAGTTCTCATTGGACAGGGAGATTCCCTGTTCTCCCATTCCAATGTACTTTCTTTCCTTGGGAGTCCCCAAGTGCTCTCCACTATTCTGGAGGGCTTCTTTTTCTGTTCTATGTTGTATCTGTGTACGTACACTATCCATTCCCCATTCCCATTGGACCATGAGCTGAGGAAGATAGTGAAGCTCAAAATCATAGTCTACTCACATCAGCACCCTCCACACCACGTGTCTAGCCTGGCATCTGTGTGTAATTGGGATGCAGTAAATGATTGATGAATGATATTGATCAACTTGGGAAAGGAGCCCCATTTAGACAAATTAAGCCTCCAAGTGACCCTTAAAAAGACAGGCACCTGGTAATTAATGACATGCCTCAGTGTGGGAGAAAGTGCTGCACAATGTGATAGGGGTTCATCTGTCTATTTAAATATCCAGTGTTGAAGTCTGGGTCAGCTAACTGTTATATGAATTGGGTCACTTGATATAAACATTTTCCAGATTCTAATGGTCTTCCCCAATTGGTTCTTGTTTTACTACTTTTTCATCCTAGCTACTCTGCAGGACTTGGTAGTGCAGCCTTAGTAAATGTAATTGGAGCCACCCACCGGCTCCACTCTCTGCCTCTTGCCCTTCTCTGTGCCCCTCCTTTCTCTCTTTAGGTGACCAAGGACTCCGACTTCTGCCCTCTCTTCCTAAATCATGTCCTTCCTCATACTAAGCTAGCTATCAAGGCCTCACTCAACATGGGAGGCTGTTGTTGAAGAAGAGCTCCCTGGACAGAGAATCCAGAGCCCACAGTTTCAGTGTCAGCTCTGCTTCTCCCTGTGGAGACCCTCCAGACCTCAGTTTACCTTCTGCGGAAAGGAGGAGAAAGTGACCTATATGTTCCTGTTCCCACTGGCCCCGAGTCCCTACCACCTGAGAGCCCATAGAGTTACCAGCAGTTGGGCAGGTTAAGGGTTATGCTGGCCTTGATGTCATTTCCGAACCGCAGGTAGCCCAGAGTCCCGATGCTGATGTAGAGGGCAGTAACGATGGACATTCCCAAAGACAGGATGACTGGGAAGTGGCGGGCATCCTTCATCTTGTTTTCCAGGGGCAGAACCTACAGAAATGCCCAATGTAAGAAGAGAGGAGGAGAAAGAGGAACACAAGCATAAAGAAGAAAGGCATGCCTCTTCTGGGCGTATGTACACAAAAGAATCGGAAGCAGGAACATGCACAGATATCTGTATACCTACGTTCATAGCAGCATTATTCACAGTAGCCAGAAGTTGGAGGCAAGCTGAGTGTCCACCGATGAAGGAATGGATAAACAAAATGTGGTCCATACATACAATGGAATATTATTCAGCCTTTCAAAGAAGGAAATCCTGACATATGCCCCAACATGGATGACTCTTGAAAACATTAAGCTAAGTGAAGTAAGCTAGTCACAAAATGACAGATACTATGTGATTCCACTTATATGAGGTAACTGGAGTAGTCAGATTCAGAGTCAGAAATTAGACTGGTGAGTCCCATGGGCTGGGGGGAGGAATAAATGGGGGATTATTGTTTAATGGGTACACGGTTTTGGTTTTGCAAGATGAAAAGAGATGGATGGTGATGATCTTTGTACAACAATATGAATGTACTTTATGTCACTGAACTGTACACTTAAAACTGGTTAAGATGGTAAATTTTATGTGAGGTATATTTCACAATTAAAAAAAAAAAAAAAGAGGGACTTCCTTGTGGTCCAGTGGGTAAGACTCGGTGCTCCTCATGCAGCGGGCCCAGGGTTCGATTCCTGGTGGGGGAACTAGATCCCACATGCATGCTGGAACTAAGAGTCCGCATGCGGCAACTAAGAAGTCCACATGCCGCAATGAAGATCCTGCGTGATGCAACTAAGACCCAGCGCAGCCAAAATAAGTGAATAAATAATTAAAAAACAAAAAAAAAGGAAAGGAAGGCCTGCAGTCACAAGATGATCCCTGGACCGTTCAGAGCTGGAAGCACCCTGCACGTTGACCAGACCAAGGAGCTCAACTCCCTGGGGCGGCCCGATCTGGCCAGCAGGTGCATTTTGTTTGGCCAGTCTTTCAGACAACTGAATATGAATGCCTTTAAGCACAACATTCTTTCTCCACCTACCAGGCCCACCTCTCCCTCACACACTGACATATACCTGGCTTCTCCACCCACGGTGTCTTCCAAAAGCACTTGAGTTTGAGGCTCCCAATTCTAGTGCACTTGCCCCTCTCTGTACGGATGGGAAGGCCAAGACTCAGGTTATGCAGTGGGCTGGCAGCAGCACTGGAACTAGAGCGCCCTGGCTCCCCAGAGGCACATTTCCCCACATACCATGTTCTCAGGATCCTTCTTCCCCAGATGCATATCTGGCTCTAAGAGAATCCAAGCTGCGGCCAGCCTGCCTCTTGGGCCTGTTGGGCATTCCAAGGTCTCTTCTATCTTTGGTTACAACTCTTTGGCCTCATCTCAAAATTTCCTCCTCAGACTTCTACTGACCGAGGGCCCACCCTCACCTTCCCCTTCTCCTTGATCCAGCCATGTGCTAAGCACACTTCATGCACCATTAGGGTGATCTGTGCCTCAGTTTCCTGATCTGAAAACTTACCTGTTAGAATCTTTTGGAGAATTACATGAGCATTGAAATGGCGCACAGTAAGGACTTAGTAAATGTTACCTACAATTATTTTGTAATACTTCAACTCTATGAAGCTGGTACTTGGTGTAATTCTTATTTTATAACGAGGCTCTGAAGATCATATAACTTACACCAAGCTATACAGCTTGGAAGTGGCAGAGGAAGGCTGCAAACCAGGGCTGTCCTCCAAAGTCCAAGTACTTCTACCTGATCTTGCCTAAACTCCCACAGCCCTGGGCTTGTTTATTACTCAGTGAGAACTTAGCACCTATTCCTTTGTATTGTTAAATCCTTCTCTGTCCTGTATGCACCTCCCCTCCCTCCCCATGTGAATGGCAGACGCTTGAGGGGAGTGCGTGTCTGGGACTTTCCACTTTCTTCTGGGTTAGGTGCACGTTCCTAGATGCAGCAGGTGCTTGGGAAAATGTCCAGGGGATTAGGTGAAGAGCAATCCAACGTGAGCTTTCCTACCCTGCAATACATTTTTGTTGCATATATTCCCCAGGCTAAAGATGATCTTTTTACAAGGCCAGCTCATACTAAGTAGAGTAAGTTCCCTACATAAGAGAGAGTTTCATTCTGAGAGCGCGTTCATAAGTCCACTTTGTTCATAGATCCAACAAAGTTAGCCTAGGTACCCAACTAACACAATCGGCTATATAGTGCTGTACTATAATAAGTTTATAATACTTTTCACAAAATAATACATAAAAAACACACAAAAAATAAACATTTTTAATCTTACAGTACAGTACCTTGAAAAGTACAGTAGTACAGTACAGTACGACAGATGGCATACAGGGGCTGGTATGGAGTGAACAGGCAAGAAGAGTTACTTACTGGAGGAGGGAGAGGAGGTGGGAGATGTAGAGCTGAAGTATCGTCAGCAATAGGAGACAGAGGGCAAGCTGCACAGTTTCACTCCTTGCGTTCGCATCTTTGAAAGTTCCCAACTTGAAGGTTTGTATGTAGGAGATTTACTGTAACTGGCTTTCTCCCTCCGCCCCCCGCGCCTCCCCACAATCAAAGAGATTAAATGGCCATTCACATAAAGTGGGAAGGTCTCTGGCTTGGGAGTGAATAGTACCAGCTGTAGCAGTTCCCAGCTGGTGACACAGCTCAAGACCCTGTCCCTATTTGGGGTGAG